CCGAGGCTCCCATCGCCGTTAAGGAACAAAAGCATGGCAGGCGATCCAAACTCACCCGCGCTGATTGGGGTCAACAGACAGCCAACCGGGTGAAGCGGCCAATTAACAAGAAGGCGGCGTTACTTGATTGGCCGTAAGTTGCCCCTTCTGTAGTTTTCCACTTGGGCTTTAAATACCATTCATAAACATTCCATTTTACCTTTATAATGAACGGTGTGGTTGGATAATACATCCCTGTTCCTCTGCTCCTACGATCCGGTCTTCTCTCTGTCCTGTGGGGGGCCCAGAGAAAACGAGTTTCGATTGAGAATCAACCGTCAGTTCTGATGAGGGACGAACACTTCAGTTGGCGACGGGTTGAACCCTTATCAAGAGGTCTATATCAAATGACAGGCTCAAGGCCATTCTGCTGCAGCAACAAGCACAATTCGAGGCATCCCAACTCAGGTTGATCGAAACTCTTACGCGCAATTGACAAGCCAGACCGGTTCACAGTCTACAACCGTCAAACCGTCCGCATCGGTAAACGCAATCAGTAACAACATTACCGAATTTTTGTACGACCATGATGCTGGTCTCAGCTTTGAATCTTGCTTCAAGCGTTACGAAGATGTGTTCCGCGTTGAACTGGGAGACGACGATGACGATTGGAAAGTCCGATTACTGTTAACGAAACTTGGAACAGCAGAGCACTTCAGACATGTCAATTTTATTTTACTCAAGAACGCTAGAGACAGCATTTTTGATGAGACTGTCAAATGCTTGGGCCAAATATTTGGAGAGCAGTCATCCATCTTCAACAAGTGATATCAATGCCTGAAGATCACCAAGATGGACACTGACAACTACGTCATTTACACTGGCATAGTCAATCGCGAGTGCGAAAAATCCGACATCAAAACCATCAAGGCAGATAAGTTCAAATGCCTGCTTTTTATCTGTGGCCAACATTCCCCACGGGATGCAGAGATTCGCAGCAGACTACTGAGTAAACTCGAACAAGATCCGCAAATAACTCCACAGATCATCACTACTGAATGTCAAAGATTGTTGAAGCTCAAGCATGACACATTTAAGCTGGAGAGGCAACAGTTAACCCAAAATCTTAGTGTATTGAAAACCACATGAAAGAAACCGCTTCCAAGTGAAACCGGCCCTGAAAAGCCCAGAGAGAACCCCAAATCCCTGACTGCCTGTTGGAGATGTGGTGAGTGGCATTTTGTTCGTGGGTGTCCATTCCTGAAACATGTTTGCCACAAGCGTCATAAGGAAATGCACTGCCAAGCCAGACTGCTGTTCTAGCGTGGTAGACACCCTCGGCGGAATTCCCAAAAGATTCAACAGCTAGAGTACGGTTCAAGAGGCCTACTCTGATGAACATGTGGCTCGCAGAAAGTACATCAGAATTCACCTGAATGGGCAATAAGTGCTTCTTCGGCTAGATACAGACGGGGACATCATAATTATCTCCCTCAAAATTTGGCAGTATATTGGCGCTCTATCAATTAGCCGAACGATACATGTTGCATTTAATGCTTCAGGAGGTCAACTTAATCGCACTGGTAAGCTGCGGTGTGAAATGGTTTCTGACGCTGCTGGGGGAAACGGCATCGTGTACAATACAGAGTTGTCACATTTCATTCCACTTGATCGGATCCAGAAGCTCCACCTATTCGACATTCTCCTTGGTCAAGTCTGCAATACTCTCCGGCTCGGATATACGAGACTCACTTCGGAAGGGAATGAATCAAACAATAAGCTGATCGAGCAGCTACGAAGAAAATTCCTGTGTGTTTCGCTATGACTAGGGAAGATGCACAAGGACGAAAGCAAGCTTTAGTCTCAAGGATGGTGCCAAACCGGTATTCCAACCCAAAAGACCGGTATCATACGTTGCGCTTCCGAATGTTGATGTGGAAATTGATCGTTTGAAGCGAGCCGATGTCACCCAAGCTGTGAACTATTCAGCATGGGCAGCACCTATATTTGTCGTCAAGATTAGTGGAACCGTTCGTATCTGTGCTGACTACTCTACGGGATTGAGTCTGCTTTAAAAATGTACCAGTATCCTTTGCCAGTCCCAGATTTATTTGCAAAGATTAGTGGTGCGCTTACTTTGCAAAGCTAGATTTATCAGATGCTTATCTTCAAATCGAAGTCGACGATGCTTCAAAGGAGTTGCTGATAATCCATACGTACCGAGGTCTTTACCAGTTCAGTCGTTTGCCGTTTGGTGACAAATCAGTTTCCGCGATTTTTCAACAAATTATGGATGTGATATCAGTTGGGTTATCAGGAGTCGCAACTTATTTGGACGACAACATAATCAAAGGGTCTACCCATCGAGAGCTGACGGAGACTGGAAGCATTTCGCAACCGCGTTAATGACTACGGGTTCCACTTAAAAGCAGAAAAGAGCAATACCGGCATGAAGTGTGTAAAGTATCTTGGCTTCATCATCGACAAGGATGGCCGTCATCCAGATCCTTCCAACATAAGTGGCACAAACAGATGCCATCCCAGACAATGTCGCGAAGCTCAGATCATTACAGTCCGATGTGCCCGAAAAGCATCGGTTACGAGGACCGCTGCATGAACTTCTGGTAAAGAACCGCCAATTTGTATGGTCTCCTGAATGTCAAGCCGCATCTAATGATGGCAAATCTATATTGTGTTCCGATCTATTGCTAGCGCATTTCAATCCGGAGCTGGAGATCGTAGTTGCTGCGGACATGTCAGATTACGAAACTGGAGCAGTCATATCCCACATTTTCCACAATGGTTCGGCGAAAGGGGTGGCACATGCAGCCAGATCCCTAACCCCAGCGGAACGCAACTATGGGCAGATCAAGAAAGAAACTTTGGCTATAGTGTAAGCATGCAAGCGATTTCACTAAATGCTCTATGGACAAAAATTCACGCTGTTCATGGACCACAAACCCTTAGTCGCAATCTTTGGATCAAAGAAAAGTATTCCAGTTTGCACGGCTAGTCGTCTCCAACACTGGACAACGGTTATACTCGGTTACGATTGCGTCGTCAAATATCACTCTACTCACAACCCTGGTCAGGCGGATGCGTTAGCTCGGTTAATTGATACACAGCATCAGGAATCAGAGGATTTTGTAGTTGTTTAAATCTCCGTAGAGTCCCAAACAAATCAAGCTGTGCTTGACGTGTTCAGTGCCTCAACAGTAACGTTCGAAATGGTGCAGGAAACGACTCGTCCTGATTCTGCCCGACAACAATTGAACAATTTCCACCTCAATGGCTGGCCAAAGAGAGTTACAACGCCGGAGCTACAACAATTCCACCAATGAAAAGAAGAACTATCAGTCGCCAACAATTGTCTGCTGTTCTTAGATCGCGTCGTCATCCCTGTCATCCTTCAAGAGAGTCCTCCGACAATTTCCCACTGGCCACCCAGGAATAAATCGCATGAAATCGATGATACGAGGCTATGTGTATTGGCCATATATGGATTCCCAGATCAAGTATTTAACTAAGAATTGTCCCCGAGGTTCCAGTGTCTCTAAACATACAGGGAAAACGGAATTGTAATCCTGGTCAATACCAATGGAAACATTGTCCAGGGTACACATCGATTTTGCGGGTCCAGTTGACGGTCATCATTTTCTCATCGTTGTCGACTCCCACAGTAAATGGCGTGAGGTGATTCCAATGGTGAAAACTAACGCAGGAGCCACTGCCTCTGCTCTTGGACAGATATTGTCACGTTTCGGTGTTCTACCTTGGTTTCGGATAATGGTGCGCAGTTCACCTCTAAGTTCGTTGAATTTTGTCGCAGACACGCGATTGTCCACCTATAACCAAACGGGTAAGCACAAGGCTTTGTGGATAAACTCAAAACAGCCTTGCAAAAAGATGAAAGAAGGTACCTTGGCGGAGATTTGTAACACATTGCTTCTGACGTATCCCACAACTCCAAATCCGCAGACACAGAACGCACCATCCCTGGCTTAAACTCTATTTCAAAGGAAAATCCGTGTGCCGCATGATGCCCACAGACCCAGGAAGGAACAAATACCATCCCGCAACTTTCAGATGGAACGTCAATTCGACATCGACGCGATGCTCAAAAGCGAGCCTTTTATGTTGGCCTACAAAACCTGGCGAGAGATTATCGCATACACTATCCCAAAAAAGCTATGGGCCGTGTGCTATACAAATGTGAAAACGTGATCTACGGTATCCAGGTTAGGATGAAGATTTGGGTGGGACAGACCAAGCAGCTGCTAGAGTCAGGGACTGGCGAACAACTGCAACAACAAGTACCAGCAGCGCAATTACCTCCGGACATACTGGCCGATGCAGGTGAAGCGAAGACTCCCCAACATGCTCCAGTCAGCTCGTAGCCTATAGGTAACGAGCTTGTCTCGTAATCTAGCGGCGCGGGTTCGAATCCGCGTCGAGGTGGGCGTCTTCGTGGTATACTCAGCGACCTCACCTGCGACTGATGGTGGCCGCACGGTAGCGAAGCGTCGTTATGGCATACAGCTGACACATTAGTATTATTACAACATGCTCCAACACAGCCAGCACATGATCCGCCCCGAAACCTAACAGCACAGAGGCCGAAGAGGCGACGCCTATGCGTGTCACCCATGCAAATCAACCCCAAGCTGAAATCGCACAACATAACTCGAAGGGGGGAAGGGTTAGGAAGGAATATGCTAAGCAAACAACCGAGGCTCCCATCGCCGTTACGAAGCCAAGGCGTGGCAAGCGGTCCAAACTCACCCGCGCTGATTGGGATCAATAGACAGCCAACCGGGTGAAGCGGCCAATTAACAAGAAGGCGGCGTTACTTGATTGGCCGTAAGTTGCCCCTTCTGTAGTTTTCCACTTGGGTTTTAAATACCATTCATAAACATTCCATTTTACCTTTATAATGAACGGTGTGGTTGGATAATACATCCCTGTTCTTCTGCTCGTACGATCCGGTATGCTCTCTGTCCCGTGAGGGGTTCAGCGAGCTCGAGTTTCGATTGAGAA